CATTTACTTACACACACACACACACACACACACACACACACACACACACACACACAATTTCTTTGTCCTTTCCCACTGAGATGATTCATAATCAGAATATCACTATTCAAAAGAGACCAAGGCACCTTGAGAAGAGAGCATTTAGAATTATTTGTTAGAACTAGAAAGAACCATGCACATCATCTAGTCTAAACCCTGCTCTGCCCATCCCCAGCCTACCTCTGTTCACGGAAAAGACTGAAGTCCTTTGAGGTGATGTGACTTGTCTAAGATCACAGAGCAAACGAGAGAAAAAGCAAAGACCTTTTATCCATTCATTCAATAAAAGCTTATTAATTCCTACTTACCAGGCATTGTTCTAGGAGATGAAAATGTAGGCTTATTCAACACAAAGTCCCTGCCTTTGTGGAGCTTACATTTGTCATATGGCCATGCATACAAAAAAACCAACATAATGTCAGATGGTGATAAGTACTAGGAAGAAATCCAAACTATGGGGATAGGGAATGAAGGAGGAGGGGAAGTATTACATTTGATAAGGAGGTCAGGGATTGTTTGTCTAAGAAGTAAATGAAATGAGGGGGCAAGACATATCTGAGGGAAGAGCACTCCAGATAGAGGGAACAGCAGGTGCAAAGGCCCTGGTGCAACAAGGAGGCCACTATGATCAGGATGTCTGGATTCACCATCCAGAGCTCCTTTATCAAACCACACTATCTCTAAAGTCATCAGGGGTCTCTCAAGGGTCTTTATGCCATACAGTGGCGAGGTATGAGGGTGACTATAAGAACCTAGAAGTCACCATGCTGCCTAGCTTGGAACTTGTGCCCTTCACAGACACAACAGGGACCAAGAAACTCAATGTAGCATAACACAAATAGCTCTGACCTGGATATCAGGAGACCTAAGGGACAATCTTTGTTCTCCTACTGAATGTCCAATCGTTGGTCAAACCCTCTTGGAAGACCAGATCGTTGTTTTTTAAAATTGTAATTTAAATTTAATTTTTAGTTTTAAAATAAGTGAGTTCCCATTTTTTTTCATGTATCCTGACTTTTTTTGCTGTGGTTATTATAACTCAATACAGAAATGTATACAAATCTTAAGTGCACTGCTTGATGAATTTTGGCATATGTATACATGTGAGACTTCATCATCCAGATCAAGATGTAGAACATTCCAATGTCTCTGAAGGTTTTTTTATGATGTGTCTCCCCCTGGGTAATCACTGCCAAAGACAACCATTTGACCTCTACCAGCATATACATCTGTTCTTAAACTTCATACAGATGGTATCATATAGGATGAACTTTTTTACGCCTATCTTCTTTTACTCAAAGTTATGTCATTGAGATTATCCATGTTGTTGAGTAGCAAGAGTTTTTTTTTTTTCATTGCAGGGCAGTGTTCCATTACATGAATATAACATTTTATTTTTTCTTTCTCCTGTTGATGGCCATTTGGATTATTTCCAGTTTGGAGCTCTTATGAACAAGCTGCTATGAACATTCTTATGCATGTCTTTTGTGGGCATAAACACTCATTTTTCTTGGGTTTATACTCAGGAATTGAATTGTCTGAGCTTTTTAAAAGTTCAAATATTTCTCTGACAATTATATGATAGTAGCTCTATTTTAGTGTCTGTTAATTCTAGATAAAGTCAGTAAGGCTTTTAAATGCTTCTTTATCAATTGTGAACATACCTCTGTGCATTTGGAAAAATATCCATATGAGATATTATTTTTTTCAGTCTTCAGATAAGGCATGGTGTCCAAATGGTTCTTGACCTCCAAATGGAGAATCACTGCCCTAAAGAATGACTCAAGTGTCTTTGAGATGTAATCCTCTATGATTCTAAAAGGCAGTGCTCCTAAAACCACACTTTTGATTTGTTTCTCTTCTTTTATTTATCTTTTTTGAAAAATACTTCTCGATATACAAGTAGATTTTTTAAAATTTTATTTTATTATGTTAATCACCATATGTTACATCATTAGTTTTTGATGTAGTGTTCCATGATTCATTGTTTGCAGTGTAACCCCCAGTACTCCATTCAGTACGTGCCCTCTTTAATACCCATCACCAGGCTAACCCATCCCCCTACCCCCCTCCCCTCTAGAACCCTCAGTTTGTTTCTCAGAGTCCATAGTCTCTCATGGTTCATCTCCCTCTCCAATTTCCCCCCTTCATTTTTCCCTTCCTGCTATCTTCTTCTTCTTTTTTTTTTTAACATATAATGTATTATTTGTTTCAGAGGTACAGGTCTGTGATTGAACAGTCTTGCACAATTCACAGCACTCACCATAGCACATCCCCTCCCCAAAGTCTATGACCCAGCCACCCCATCCCTCCCACCCCCCACCACTCCAGCAACCCTCAGTTTGTTTCCTGAGATTAAGAATTCCTCATATCAGTGAGATCATATGATACATGTCTTTCTCTGATTGACTAATTTCGCTCAGCATAATACCTAACACAACTTTCTCCTGTTGAACTGCTTTTTTTCACTTAGCTGATGGGGTTTCGATATGGAGCTCCATGCTGAAACCGTGTGCTCTCTGACTCATGACATTATTCTAATATTGAGTGGTGAATGTAGGTAGTACCAAGTATCTTATTTTTCCTTTCATTTGGGACCCACCTTCTCCAAATTCAAGTCCAGAGTGCCATGAAAGGGTCCAGTGATTATTAGCATGCTAGTTTATTCTTGGGAATCAGGAAGTACTAGAGGCTCCTGTGACCAGGGTAATGGCCCTCAAGAGGATGGTGTGAAGGTTTTGCTGTAGGAAGGACGGATAGTAAACCAAAGTGACAGACAGATGGGATGTGCCAAGGTTTGGTATGGCCGTTTTGGAAGCTATTTGTTTTTTGTTTGTCCAACACATCCCACTCTCCTTTCTTCATTTCCAGTGCAGACCCTACTTCTTAAACACAGAGTAGGAATGTGAGCCAGGATGACCAGTTGTAGTTCTCAGCTGCCCTGGCTTCAGGGATTGGCTGAAGAATGGACAAATAAGCCACACTGCACTAATCATGATCCTTTTTTCTTTTCTTTTTTAAAAAAGATATTTCTTTAAAAGAAAGAGTGCAAGCGGGGGGAGGGAGAGGGACAAGCCAACTCCATGCTGAGCTTGGAGCCTGATGCGGGCCTCGATCTCACAACCCTGAAATCATGACCTGAGCCGAAATTAAGAGTCTGACACTTAACCAACTGAGCCACCCAGGTGCCCCAACACATCACTGTTTCTTGTCTCTGGTGGGCAATATGTACTTCTTTCCATTCAAGCTGCTCTATATTGGGCTGTTGAGCTTTGAGGGAAAGAATCTGAACAAATACACAGCCAACTCTTTCATAACCAAACCTACTGCTTTGGAGATGGCCTGGGTGGACTTAGTTTTGAGAGCTGGTGAGGAGGACACCCATGGCTGCTCTTCATTTGGCATGCGAATTATATCTTATGAGATATATTATATATATGTGTATATATATATATATATAATATGAGATATATATTATATCTCATATATAATGTGAGAATTATGTTCTCATCAGCAGTTGCTCCTAGGGCCAAACAGGAACAAGAACTTCCAGTGTTTCAAAAAGATTCTGTCTTGCCCATGCCACAAAAATATGAGTGTCTCCCACATGGGGAGTCTAGACAACAATCGAGACAAGAAAAAGCAGATGATCACAATATGGTGTGGCGATAATTATGATGGGAAGTGGAGGGTGATATGAGGCACAAAGCAGGCTCACCTCACCTGGTCTCTGGGGCGATTCATGGGGATGTTGAGGATGACCTTCTGGAGCCAAGAAGCTCCAAACTGTACTCTAGGGATTTGTAGGAGGGTCCCAGGGAAATGTGTGTGTATATAAGTTGGGGACCAAGGGGTAGGCACAGAACAGTGTTTTTGGTAGAGGGAACAGCACATTTGAAAGCCCAAAAGTAAAAATGAGTTTGGCACAAAGGACTGATATGTCAGGACACCGATTTGTTAAGTCAGAACAAGATGCACAGGTAAGCATGCATAGAACTTTTGAACACACCGAACTCACATCTGCTGCCCAGGGTGGCTGTTTCCTGGCTCAGAAGAGCTGGGAGAGTGATTTAGTATCATAACACTTCATGGAGAGAAACTTTATTTCCTGCTATCCTTATGGACTATTGAAACTGTGGCAAATAGGGACTATGAGTGCAAAAGGCACCAAGATGAATAATTGTCCCTTCCTTTCTCCTCCTTTCCGGCCCAATTAAGCCAAGGATCAACCTGACATACTCCGTGAGAGTTAGAAATAATGTGTGCAAAGCCTGGTCATGGCAGACTGTCCAGCAATGTGGTGCTCCTCTTCTGGCACCATAGGCCCTCGGTTTCCTCAGGTCTCATTTCCTGTGCCAGGAATGACCTCCCCCTGGATGGCTGACAGCAGTCCTGCCCTCTTTTTGGGGGGATACCCCACCTCTTTCTCCCTGGTTGACTCTGTGGTCTGCAGTAGGTCAATGGCTAAGACATGTCAAATCCAGTGACTTTGTACCTTTCCCACAGTTAGGGTTTGTCAGTCTGGGAATACCCAATAGAGGGGGGCATGCACAGCTTCGTCTACATGGGCTCCACTAAGTCCAGGCCAAGTCCCTCTTATTGTCTCTCCTGCAGCTTTCGGGCAGTAAAGCCCATCCTCTGACTCAATCTTTGGGGGCCTGAGATGCTCTCTTCCATGAATGTTTGCTGGAAAGAAGAAAATGCACACATACACGCACACGCACACAGTCACAAAGGTATACTGGTCTCTGAAACAGCCCTGGGGAGCTTTTACTAAATATACCTGCATGGGCCTCACCCCACTGCAGACCTCACGGATCAGTATCTCTGCACCTGGGGCTTAGAAATTGTATATATTTTTAAAGTCCCTCTGGTGAGTTCTGAGAAGCACTCAGACCAAGGGCCCCTTAGTGGAGGAGGCTACTCAGCGCGACTCCCACCAGGCAAAGGCAGCCTCTCATGCCCGTTATTACACAGCTCTTCCCTAAATATCTTTGTTTCCAAGTGGTCTAGGCTTCACACCTGCATAACCAAAAGGCCTGTTCAAGAGATTTCCCCAGAACAGAGGAATCATCTCTGCTCAAAGATGAACTGAAGTTTTGACTTCTACTGAAATTTGAACCTGCAGAAAGCTTTGCTATTATGAGGTGTCTCTCTCTCTAACACACACACATACACACACACACACACTCTCTCCCACACTCTTACAAGATACACTTTATTACATATGTGTGTGTAGCTTATCGCCTCTAGAAGTTTATAAGCCATAATCTTTAGGGCAGTTGACTTGGATTGTCTTTCGTGGGATTTGCATTAGAGGAAGCTTTCAGTGTTTCATTTCAACAATGAGGGAAGTATGGCTGCAGGTCTCTGGTTTAACAAGTAAGTCTGTCTTTTTTTTTTTTTTTAAGATTTTATTTATTTATTTGAGACAGAGAGAATGAGAGACAGAGAGCATGAGAGGGAGGAGGGTCAGAGGGAGAAGCAGACTCCCTGCCGAGCAGGGAGCCCGATGCGGGACTCGATCCCGGGACTCCAGGATCATGACCTGAGCCGAAGGCAGTCGCTTAACCAACTGAGCCACCCAGGCGCCCCCAAATAAGTCTGTCTTGAGGCCAGTGGCATTAGGAATCTGCACCATCATTTCAGAAAAATGGAGTGCCCAGTCGCCCAGCTCTGCTCAGCACTGCTTTCTTTCTTCCAGTCTCACTCTCTTAATTAAAAAAAAAAAAAAAGTCCTGCAGCCCTTTCTCTGCAAAGGGAACGGTTGTAATTGAGGCCACGCCTCTGTTTTCCTTGACAGAGTCCTCACGCAACACTGTACCTCATGGAAAGATAGGAGACCACGGAATGCAGGGACTTAAAGTTTAGAATGAATCTCCGGTTCTGTCCTGGGTATTTTGGGCCTGCAAGTTTAACCATTCCACACCCCAGTTCATCTGCTTTGCTCGGCCCCTGCTCTTTTTTTTTATTTTTTTATTATTTATTTATTTATTTTTAAATTAATTAATTTATTTTTTATTCTTATGTTAATCCCCATACATTACATCATTAGTTTTAGATGAAGTGTTCCATGATTCATTGTTTGTGCACAACACCCAGTGCTCCATGCTCTTTTGATGGTCAGCTGAGAAATCCCAGTCACAGAATGTCTAAACTTCAGAATCGCAGGCCTCACTCAGGAGCTCCAGCCGATCACATGGCCCAGCCTCAGGCTGATGGAAGCATCACGAACTTGCACTTGACAGATGAAATAACGGAGAGCTAGAGAATCTTGGAACTGGCTCAAGATCACAGAGTGGAGGAGGGCTGGAACCCAGGATGTCTGCCCTTCCCCTTAGACTGCAGTGGTCTACATCCTTCCTGTGCAGACGAGTCCCCTGGGCAACCCGTGCCTGGCTGGGGACCCGCGGAGCCCCTCCCCTGAGCCCATTTACATCTCAGTTTGTTTTCAAGTCAAATCCTTGACTTCCCCCTTCCAACTAGTCCCCTCTCACAGAAAAATCCCCATGTAAAGATTCTGGAGTCTAGTACTATCCACCAATACGGTTGTGAATTTGTTAAAATGTAGGTTCCCAGGCCTCTTATCCAGAGTGCAGGCTTCCACGGGTGTTTAGGGGAGCCCGTGAGCTTGCAGTTTGACATGCTCCCCCAAACGGTGCTGGTGTCCATGGACCACACTTTGCGAAGCTGCCCCAGAGCCACCATATTAAAGACTTCTAGAGCCCACTGTGCCTCACTCAGAGAAGCTCTTCTCTTTGTAAAATGCACAAGGTGGGAGCTGGAGGCAGGTGGCCAGGGAACATTCTCTGAAGAGTTTCTGCAGCAGTTCCCACACCACAGGGAGTAGCCACCTGCAATTAGCTGACAGGTGGGGGGCTTCGGAGGAAGGGCGGGAAGAGCAGAGCAGTTTGTGGAAAGGTGTCCAGTGAAACCCAGGGGAGAGAGCTTTAACCCCTGAGCGCTTAAGGCTTGAAGCGCAGGGAGTGGAAAATGAGGTTCGGGAAGGGATTGATTGAGATACAATTTACGCATTTCAAGTGTAAAATGCAGTGGTTTTTAGTAACTTCACAGTGGTGTACAATCATCACCACAATCCATTCTAGAACATTTTATCACCTCAAAAAGTAACCCCTACACTTTACCGCTCCCCCTCCCCCCCAGTCAGCCTCTGCCCCTCCCCCCCCTCCAGCCCCAACCGCTAATCTACTTTCTGTCTGTATGGATTTGCCTATTCTGGGGATTGTATATAAATGGAATCATATAATATGTGGCCTTTGGTGACTGGCTTCTTTTATTTAGCATAACCCTTCCAGGGTTCTTCATGTTATAGCAAGTACAGTACTTCATTCTTTTTATTGCCAAAAATATTCCATTGCATGGATTACTGCATTTTGTTTATCCATTCATCCACAGTTGGGTTGTTTCTACTTTTTGGTGCACGTGAATCATGCTATTGGTGTATCAGCTTTTGTTTTCATTTCTCTTGGGTGTATACCCACGAGTGGAATTACTGGGTCAAGTGATAATTCTATGTTTAACTTTTGGAAGAACTGCCAGACTGTTCCAAAGTCCTCACTTTTATGTCTTTTAAGCCAACCTGAAACCCATGACTCTGAATCATCCTCTAAGATTTCATTTATATACAGCTCAGCTTGATCAGGTAACTGAGAACTTACTGTAAGCAAGTGTTGGGGGATGCAGAGAGTCAAGCTTGGATTACAAAGTCCAACATTCAAATACTGAAGAGTATATTTGGCATAATCTTAAAGGTTGAGGCAATGTTACTTGGATTTGTGTTTATGATAAGCAGAAAAAAAAAAAGAAGCTCACAGCTATCTATGGGGCCAGTAACAAAAAAAGGGAAAACCTATAGTATGACAACTTGTAATCAGCAGCTTTGGAAAAGGTTTTGTGGCTTGAAACTAGGGATTTTCATTACCTGCATTATCATCTGTTTCTGTATGGTTGTGCCCCCTTACATGTGGGAAATACGCTCCAATCTGCCCTAGCGGACACCGGAAACCACAGTACCAAACCCTGTATACATGCCTATGATAAAGTTTTACTTATATATTAGGCACAGTAAGAGAGTAACAACGATAACTACAAATACAAAAGAACAATGATAGCAATATACTGTAGTAAAAGTTATGTGAGTGTGGTCTCTCTCTCTTTCTCTTTTAAAATGTCTTATGTCTTGTACTCACCTTTCTTCTTGTGATGATGTGAAATGATAAAATGACTACACGATGAGACGAAGTGAGGGGAATGACGTAAGCATCGTGACCTGGTGTTAGGCTCCTATATGACCTTCTGATGATATGTCAGGAGGATCGTCTGCTTCTGGACAGCAGTTGACCACGGGTAACTGAAACCACAGAAATTGAAACTGTGGATAAGGGAGGACTACTGTACAGGGAAAGAGACTTTAAAAATTTAAGGGTAAAGTACTTAGAAATACTTTAAAGTATTTAAGCATAAAACACAGAAGTATGCAAAGTGTAACTGCATGAATTTTCTCAAAATGAACCTCACCCATGTAACGAGCACCTGCAGCAAGAAACAGATGGTTATCAGCTCCCCTGGAACTCTTCCCTTTCCAGTCATTAACCATCCAAGGGGAAGGAGGATATCCAACTTCTAGCACCAACATTCCCAGACACAAAGAATACATTTTGATAGTACATTGCAGGTGTCAAGGATTGACCACTGGAATAGATTCATTAAGCTGAAAGAATTTCTCAAGACTCAGAAGTTTTATATTGCACGGTGCAGAAGAATCTTAAAAATTAAATACCTTTAGGTTTGTGTATAAAATAAAAGGTATAAACTCAATGTACAAGAAGCTTTTAACATTACCTGCAATTTAAGAACATGTGCTGTAAGATGTTTTTAAAGTGCATGAAACAACATACTTTCAACATTTATTTTAAAATACAGCTCCCTGTTTCTCCAGAGTTTGAAGTTTATTTCCAACAGCACTTTGTAAAAGAAGTCCTAGGGACTATTAATCACAGGTGCTTTAATAATTCAAAAAGTGTATATGTAAACACACATGCCCACTGGCAATGCCTCTCATTGTGGGTTGGAGTAAGTAACGACCAAAATAAATACAGCTTTGGCAAGCGGAACACAAAAACAGATACACATTTCCCTGGGTTTATTGTGCAGGAGGTTAAATACCCCCACCTTGCTGATAAAATGAACTGCCTAATATTGAGACTGACTTGCGGCAAAGCGACACTGCCCTGCTTCTGAACCTGGAAAAAAAAATCCATTATAATGGGTTCACGTATAAAAGCACTTTGAAAACATAAGAATCTTCGGAGTGAAGGGCACATATGCCTAGAGAAAATCTTTCGGCAAAGGCGAATCATTTTTGTTTTTAAGCTCTAAATATGTCTTATAAGTGACCAAAAACAGGTTAGGATTTTATTAGGATATTTCTTCAGAAGTCTGGGATTCTACGTTCCACCAGGTGATGATGCCTCATATAGCTCACGAGGCAAGGTGAGGGGGACCCCGCGTTACCTTCGCCACCCCCCCCGCCCCCCGCCCCGCCGTTCTTTCTTTCTGGATGCTGGATACTTCCAAGGTAACCTCGTGCTCACGCTGGCTGCTAACCCTGGCGCCAGCAACGCACCCCCCGCTTGCCCGCCCCTTCCCCCCACACCCCCCTTCCAGGCAGCGGGGCCGCAGCGCCCGGAAGCCCCACGCGAGCGGTGACTTCGCTCTGCCTCGTCCTTCCCCGAAGCCCCGAGGCTTAGACTTTTCCCACCAAGTCACCCACACCCCCTCCCCCTGCCATCCCCCCTTTCTGTGGGGGGGAAAAAGTTTAAAGCCGGGCTCCCTTCGCATTGCACTTGCCAGGGGGCCTGTCTCGGCTGGACTGCAAGGGGGCGAGGATCCCTAGCTCGGCGCGTGCGGGACGGACTGTTAGACCGTCCGCTCTCCGCTCCTACGCGCCCGCACTGCGAGGTCCCTCCTCGCCCGAGGGACCTACTTACACAGTTGGGACTGGGCACCTTCCCCGGACCCCAGGGAGCTGTCGCGGGTTGGGCCGTGCCCCGAAGGCTGCTGCAGCCGCGCGGCGCGGGCGCGCGGCGGGGGCGGGGGGCGGGAGGGGGCGGAGAGCCAGGGCGCGCCGGGGGCGGCGGGAGGCGGACCCCCCGTGGCAGGTGGGTGCGGCCGGCGGGAGCCCGGGCAGCGGCGGTGGCGGCGGCAGCAGCAAGTGGTTGGGCCGCGCTCATTTCCTTCCCTCCCCCTCGGCCTCGGGGTCCGCCCGCGGTGCCCAGTGCGTGGCGCCCGCGGCTCGGCTCCGCGTCCCAGCCCGCCGCCACCGGCCGCTCCCTTCCCCGCCCGTCCATGTCCCTGCCCGTGGTGCTCCCGGGCTCCTGCTGCCCTGTGGCCGGGTTCTCGGGCGGGCCGCAGGCCGGGGGCCCGGGCGCCGCGGCCGCCGCCGGCCAGGAGCCGCCGCTGCCCCCGCTGCGGCCGCGCTGGCCCCGGGCCGCCCTGCCGCCCCCCGTGCGGCCTCGCTGTGCCGCCGCCGCCGCCGCCGCCGCCGGGGTGCTGGCCGCGCCGCCCGCGCTCTCCTCCCGCCGGGCCGCCGCCGCCGCCGCCCCGGGCTCGGCGCTGCTGCCCGCTCGTCCGCTGCTGTCGCTCGGGCTGCTGCAGCTGATCCTGGGCTGTTGCATGGTGGCGCTGAGCTTCGGGGCGCTGTCGCTGAGCAGCTCCCCCCAGGTGAAGAACTCGTGTCCGTTCTGGGCCGGCTCCTCGGTGAGTGCCGCGCGCGCCCGGCTCGCCTGGACACGGCCCTTCGGGGGAGCAGGGGCCTCTGGCCGGTCTCCTCCACGGCCCCGGCATTGCGCCCCCCTCCCCCACCCCCAGGGCCGAGGTTGGGGAGCACAGCCCCTAAAGCCAATTGAAGTTTTTGGAGGCGTTGAGGCTGGGCGGGGCGGGGGGGGGGGGGAGAGAGAGAGTAGTATTTAGGGGTGAATTGGGTTGCACCTGGACAGTATCTGTTCCTTGCAGGCTAAAGGATTTTGTTGTTCCTGTCAAGTTGGTAGAATAATACAGATTTCCAGCTCTGGGAGATTGGAAGAATGGGGGTGGATGGTAGGAAAGTAGGAGAAAAATGATTCAACTTCAGGCCTGAGTATTTACTTCTCCAAAAACGTCTGCGCGGGGAGGGTGAGCATTTGATCTGTTTTGTCCACTGAGGTATCCACAGTGCCTGGCACATAGTAGGTGTATTTGTGGGGTGATTGAAGTGGCAACTGGACTGGGGCACACCATTTATTGTATTCCACTTTAAGGCACACGGAAATGTGAAATGTACCAGGTAGGATGGCTCCACTCTATCTGGGGACAAGTTCAGGAGGTAATGACAGGGTCTGTGCAAACCGCGCCTGTACCTGGTCATTAAAGGAAGGCCCTAAACTCCCACTTGATTGTTGGAGCCAGGCAGGCTGCTGTGCAGAATTTCATTCTCAAGAACCCAAAGTTTCATTACGTATGAGCTCTCCAGAGCCTCAGAAGCAGGGGGCAGCTAAGCTGAGATGTCTACCCCCTGCAGCGACCTGGCCCTGCTTCCTCCAGTGGGGAAGGTTGCGCTGGGGCACCAAGTGCCCAGCCTTTGGGGAAGGCTGCTTCCTAAATGCCTCCTAAAATGTCCTAGCATCTAAGGCATCCAACCTCTTGAGCTTTGCTGGGGGCTGAGAGACTTGGAAATAGGTCTTTGTGGAATGATTGTGGAAGATGGGTATTTGAAAGTAAAGGACCTTTTTATGAAGTAACTAAATCTGAAAGTTTGAGTAAGATCCGTAATGAATGTATGTGCCAGTAAACATAAAATTGTCCTTTTGCAGGTCCACGCATACCCAGATTCAAGACCAAAGTTTAAGCATATAGGGAGAACTAATTGAACTCAGAGTAATTGTTTGAATAAAAGCATCAAGAACATTAAGTACTGTGAGCCCAGCCTGACATTTTATACTTAAATTGATGCCAGTTTGCTCTCCTTTTGAAATACTTTGATGCTGGATGGTCTGACTGTGGAACAGCCCGTGCTGGGGAGTTCATGCTCTGTTCATCGTGTTCGAGGAATCCCACCCTCCTGGCCCTGCCACTGGGCTCTCCGCAGGGATTAGATTCATTATGCTCCCTAGTCCACTCGTCAGACTAAATTCAGCCAAATGGTGGATGCATTTCATTTCTCTAAATACCATGGGCCAGAAGTGAATCTTGCATATATTTGTAGGGATTTCCCTTTTATAAAATCACAATCTCTTGTCCTCTCAAAGAGAGCTCGTTTAGGATGATTTAAATCTATTTTTTTTTCCTCTTCTGAAATCAAAACCCCAAATCAGTGTACTACTGTGAATTATTTCAGAGGTGAATACACTTCGATGTCAGTCAAGCCACAGTTGGATTTGATGAAGTATATATAGCTTAAAAAAAAAAAGGGGCCATCAGCCAGAAGATGAAGGCTGTTCCTGGACCTGCTGGCTGGGCGTGTCCTTGTTTTCTAGGACCCAGCAAAACAGAGCAGGGAAAGAATCAGTGACTTGGAACTAAATTCTCTTCTGTCAGGTTGTTTTCCACACCCCACCCCTCAGCTCTATATACGAACCTGCAGTTGTTCATTATGCTTATTTTTTTGTGGCCCTTTTCTGAGGTTGACCACAGAATTTACAAAGTGACCGTAGAACCAACAGAAACTGCGTGTCCAGAATGACTGGGTAGTATTTGAGGATGACATTAGGCACCATGACCGTGGTGTTTTAGGAAAAAAGTTTCACCAGTAGCATATGCCTTTTGAATTCATGTGCACAGGAGAGGCTTTTTGTTTGTTTGTTTCTTTTATGGGAAATTTTAAATTTACTCAAACGTTGTTCAGTGAACCCTCCTATACGTCTCCCCAAGCTCCAATAATTGTTTCATCTCTGCCTCTTCCCAGCTTTGCTGCTGGCTCTGTGTGTTCTGATAGTATCATAAGGATGAGTGTTTTATGCAGGGTAGGAATGAGTCCACCATGCTCCCTAGGCCATTTGTCAGGTTAATTTCCCACATTATTTTGAAGCAAATCTCAGACATCACACCATTTCATCTGTAAATAGTTCAATATGTGTGTCTTTTTTTTTTTAATTTTATTTATTTATTTGACAGAGAGAGACACAGCGAGAGAGGGAACACAAGCAGGGGGAGTGGGAAAGGGAGAAGCAGGCTTCCCACGGAGCAGGGAGCCCGATGCGGGATCCTGGGATCATGACCTGAGCCGAAGGCAGACGCTTAACGACTGAGCCACCCAGGCGCCCCAATATGTGTGTCATTTTTAAAAGAAAATCTAAACAGAAAGAAAAAATAAACAGAATAGAGAGACAGCATAGAAGTGACTGGGCAGGTCTTAAGAAACCACCCCCCTTCACTTTTCACGTTATTATGAAAATTTTAAATCTCAGCAAATGTAGAAAGAGTAGTATAATGAACCCCTATTTACCCATCATCCAGCTTCAGTAGTTAATCAACACATGGCCACTGCTCACCCACGCCCACTCTCCCTACTGGGTAATTTTAAGGCAACTCCCTGGTATCATAATTTCAGCCATGAAATATTTCAGTATGGCTTTCTAAAAGAAAGCAGCTTAATAGACAAAGAAAGGGCTTAAGAGCACATTGTAATGTACTAATATAAAGATACCTAAACTAAGGTTTTTATGAAAAAAGCTTAAAAATTATGACTTGAGGACGGCAGGGTTTTTTTTTTTTTTAATAACAGCTTTATTGAGATATAATTCACATTCCATACAATTCACCTATTTAAGGCATGCAGTTCAATGATTTTTGGTGAATTCATGGAGATGCACAACCATTGCTACAAACAATTTTAGAAAATTGTCATCACCCCAAAAAGAAACCCTGTACTCATTAGCAGTCACCCCCCATTTTCCCCTTGACCCTTTTATCCCTAGGCAACCACTGATGAATCTACTTTCTGGGTCTATGGATTATTCTGGACATTTCATATAGATGGAATCATCCAATATGTGGTCCTTCGTGACTGGCTCCTTTCACTTAGCTTAATGTTTTCAAGGTTCACTCAGATTATGGCATGTGATTATGGTATACTTCATTCCTTCATTCCCGAATGAGATTCCACCGTATGGACATACGATGTTTTATTTATTGCTCAGAAGTTTCGTTGGCATATGAAACTAGGTAGTTGAGCCGTAGTGCCCGTTTGTCTAAGGTTACTTTGGACTCACGTAGGAACACAGTGGTAGGATATCTTCATCTCCCAAGCTCTGAATGACCATGATGTGCCTTAGTCTGCTCTAGCAATTAAATTGGCAAATCTTCTTTCAGCTTCGGTAAAAAATTTGCTTTTATATTTGATACAAAATTAAATTCAAGGGACAGATATATTCATTAAAAAGACTATTTTATTAACACAGTATAAAAATCAAGAACGTTTTCCCATATATACCTCTGTAAGTGTTCTTACATTGAGCCTGAGATTTGGAACCTTCCGTCACTTGTCTGGACCTTGAAGGTATTTTATCTATTTTACTATGTATTTAAGAATTAACAAGTCCTATAAAGAGTCTTTTTCCATACTTTACATTCATACTGTCAGCAATTTGAAGGGAGTGTTTTTAACGTACTCATTGTTTTTGAGCATTCTGTAATCATTTATTTTCTTCCTGATATTGGTTAATGGCTCAGTTTACTATTATTCCTGAAAGGCACGAAGCTAAGAGATTAGCCACTTTTAAAAGCATCCTGAAGTTTGACCCCGGGTGGGTGTCAGGAGGAGAATCTCCAAGACCATGTTCAGGACATGCTGTCCTGGTTTTTTATTTGGGGGCACATTTAGTTACTACCACACTGCACTGGATTAATGAAAGAGTAGAGGATTGCATTGGTTTGTGTCTCCTCCTTCAAAAAACAAAATTCCTTATTCTGATGACATATACTTGGAAGATATTTCAGGCAAATGGTAGAGAATTGGTTTTTATTAATTTTTGCTCTTCTCTGGGAGCCTTAACATCCTTAATATTATCTGCATACATCTCTGCTTTGAGTCACTGACCTAAACTCATGGTCCCCCCTCC